ATGATCCCCCTACGCACCTCCTCCTCCATACTCAACATCGTTCCATCCACACACATCTGCCCAATATGGTTGCCCCTCCTATGAGCATTAGCAATTCAATGAAAAACTTTGTATTACGATCTCCCTCTTTAAGCCACAATGCCTAAGATTTTTGACGCCGCGAGATTTCCTCCATAACTGCAATCTCAACACATTCTGCCTGAGATGCTGCTCTCCTATTACGTTGGGACTCAACAAGACCACCCACCCCTTCCAATCTATCAATCTCAGTGAGGACCCTATTCTTCCTCCACTCCAAATTACTGAACACCTCCTTATTCCATCTTCTGAGTTTGTTTTTCAAGAGGCGAAACTTTCCTGCTAAAATAAAGCTCGACGTTCCCACCACCATATCCTCCTCCCACCAAGATCGCACAATCCCTTAAAAATTCACCACTCTAAGCCACATGTTCTCAAATCTGAATGGAGTACAACGAGATCTCAATCCTCCACAGTACAAGAATGTGGTCCGACGTCACCCTAGCCAAAACAACCTAAATAGCGTCCGGAAACTTCTCCTCCACTCTCCAAAAAAACAAGAATCTATCAAGGCGGGAAAAAGTAGGCGTTTCCCTTCGACTGGACCATGTAAAAGAAGCTCCCTCTAAAGAAAGATCAATAAGCTGATGTCCATCAATAAATTCCAAAAAATGAATCATAGCCGGAGTCCACGGACCACCTGCAGATCTCTCCAATGGGGATATAACCACATTGAAATCTCCGGCCACACACCAAGGAAGAGACCACATCCCCTTCGCCACACTAAGCTCCTCCCACATCCCAGCCCTCTCACAATCATCCACCGGCCCATACACGCCAAAGAAGGCCCAAGAGAAACCATATTCCTCCATCGCAAAAGCACAAGACAGAGAGGAGAGCCCCCTACAAACATCCACCTTAGCCATCCATCTCCTATCCCACATGAGAAAAATGCCACCCAAGGTCCCTAGAGAATCCAGAGCCTCCCACTCAACAAACCGATTTTCCCAAAGGCTCTTAACCACTATATCAGTCATAGTATCAATCTTCGTTTCTTGAAGACACACCAAATGAACCCCCCATTTTCTCACTGCCATCTACACCACCTTCCTCTTGCCCGGGGCATTGAGACCACAGACATTCCAAGATAGAATTCATACCTTCATGAGGAAACAATACCACCCACCTCTCCCTTGCCCCTCCCTCCCTTCCCCCCCCCCCCCCCCCTCCTCCTCCCTCACTAACTTCCTATCATAGTTCACGTTTGAACAAAGATTTCTCAGCTCCCTCTCCCCTCTCCAAAAAGGACGTATCTTTTTCCTTTTGCTCGTCCTTCTAGAAAACTGTATCATCTCCATTTCTTTCCCCTCCACAGTAGCCTGAAGAATCACTAAGGCCTGATCCCGATTGCCCTTGCAAGAGACACCCAGCAATTTGCTAGTGGCCCCAATATTTGCCATGACCCAATCCTTGCCAGTTTCATCACACTCCTGCCTACCAAAATCACTATCCATACCCTCCAGACATACAACAGCTAGAGGATCCACCATCCCTAGATTAGAGTGACCCTCCTCTGCTCACAAGATCATGTCAAGAGACTTGCCCTGTTCAACCCTGCTCCCATCAACATCTCCTTCCTCGACCTCCTCCACCTCATCAAAACAAGACATCCAGTCATTACCACTGTCCATCCCACCTTCCCTAACGTAAGAATCCGGGTCAATAGTGGGCAAATCATCCGACAAACACCTGTGCTTCTGCAGCTCCTTAATCAACAAAGTAGCTAATTCATCACTGAGGGTAATACGGATATCCTTGCCAACACAAACTATCATCATATTTGGCAAAATACCCGTCTTGGGTGTCACCAGAACATCATCCTTGGGTGAACACAGATCTTCCATTCTGCCCAAATAAGGCTCAGCCAACCTATCCAACTCATCCCTAGATGCACCATACTGAAAAGAAGAGGAAGAGAAATCCGAGCAAGACGATCACCACCCCTATCAACAAGCAAACTGACCGTCCCATCTCTTTCTGACTGCCCAAAAGCCCCAAACCCAAAAACATTTGTATCAAAACCTCATCCACGGAGTCCACCTCCAACATTGGCGATAACATTCGAGACTTCCCATCCAGATCCTCCCCCATCTCACTCCTCAACACCCCACAAGGAGTAAAAACAGAAGAAAGAGCATAAAGAGAGCTCCGAGAAAAGGAAGAAAGGTACATACCAGGTTCAGAATGAATAACCTTGCGAGCATCCCACTTTTGCTTGCTTTTCTGGTCCATTTTTTGCTGGACTGATGCGATTTGCTCGAAGATTGACCATCTTCTTTGATGGATGCACAGCTGCCATTCTCGACATCACACAAACAACCCGATTGAAGCAGTCCAAATCTGTTTTCAGAGAGCAAATTCCGATAACTTACCGTGCCGAAACTTCTTTGAGCTTAACCCAGCATCCTTCTTCTTGAACATACTTACATTCGCCCAATTTTCCTTCTCCGACCTCAACCAATATCTCAAGTCCAACTTCATCTGTGCCGTAACTTGAGATTGTCCATGAGATCCTAAGCTGGGCACCAAATCTGAAGATGGGCTGGGCTGCAAACCATTAATAGAGACAGAAAGACACCTATTTGGGCCCCAACTCACCACCCTATCCTTAGAAAGAATATGATTGGCCTTAGCATGTACAAGCCCAAAAGAAGAGGACTAGAGCCTATCATGCCCCAACCCACTTATCAACCCTCGAATCCACTTGCACAACCCAGAAGAAATGGTTGGCCCAAAAGACTTGGCCTATCATGCCCAACCCAACTAGCACCTCTCGAACCCACCTTCACAGGCCCACGCTGATTAGGCCCAATCCTACCAAGCCCATTGGATGTAGATTTCAAATAGCCCCTGCCCTCACGTGCCTCATCACATGATGGAGAAGCTGTCTTCCACCCACAACGTGAGGCATCCGACCGCCAACCACGTGTCCCACTGGCGTCCCTCCCACTCGCCTTTGGCGCGTTCCTCATCACGCGTCCCTATCCTTGAGACCGGCAATCCTGCAGATCCATCGTCTGAAGCTTCGGCACACTTCCAAACCCAATCCCAGACCTGCACGATGTTCGTGTCCTTCTATCCGACGCCACCGATGGCCTCAAATCATCCCTTCCGGTGCAGGTCTGGAAACCGGCACAAGGGAAGGAGCGATCTCTTCAGTTAACGAAATTTTGAAGGCCCACCACCCGTCCTCCGCGATGATGGACTCCGGGATCTCACCGCCTTCAACCACAGTAACAACAATCCTCTCCGTATCGCTCAACTCATATGCCTCAACATCCAAAAAACCTCACATAAATCCCAAATAGCAACAAAGAGATTCTGACACCATAAATGCAAAGGAAGGCCGTACACAATGATTCTCCGGTGGTTAGCCTTCATTCTCAATCCAAAACATACAACCCTATAGCACCAAAGATCGATGAACAACTGTGCATCTCCCCATGATTTCTTTCCCCTATCAAGAACCTTCTGTGCCTCCATGATCGACAAGAAACAGAATAGCAAAAGTCCATCAGCCAGAGAGGAAACCCTAACCCCACACGAGATCCGCCAAGTCTTCGTAACCCACTCTTCAATCTTCTCTAAAGTCCCCACATCTCTATCAAATCTCCCAACAAGACAAGAGCTAAGCATAAATTCGCGAGTAGTAGTGTTGTGATTGTCCACCCTAAACACATGATCACTGGAAGAAGGTACGCACTCCACCTCTCCTTGCAAATCCAGGCGAGGGAGACTTGCGACGTCCAAAAACGACAACTTCTGGCCGTCGAGGGCTCTCATGAAAGCAGCCAAAGAAAAACACCCACTAAAAACAGAAACCCAAGAGAGGAAAGAGATGCACGAGGGAAAGTAGCAAAGGATTTCACCGGAATTAATGAATCCGGTGACTGGCCGAAGTAGTAGACTCAGGCTGCATCTCTGCTATGACAAGCTTTCTCGCTCTTGCGTCTGAGGAGACATATGATTCTGGTTATTCACATTCTCCAAAATAACCTTGAAGATAATTTGTAACTTTGAAAATAATTTTGTCCCATCAATATGAGAAACCATGACATGTTTTAACTTATTATTTTCCAAATGTTTGGATTGCATATAGAGTATTATTAACTATCCCAGCTACAACAGTTGCATTTGCTGAGAGAAGATTTTCAAAGTTAAAGTTGATCAAATCTTATCTACGGTCGACGATATGTTGGAGAAACTTAATTGGAGCACTTTAATTGACAATTTTACAGCTCAAAATGCAAGACGATCACATTTATTTTTATATGAAGTTGAATTTTGATTTTTATGACTAAGCTGTGTTCAATATTTCTTTTAATTTTTTTTATGTAAATTGGATCGTGCTCTTTACAAAGCACCAAGATCGGTTTTTGTTTTGTGTGTTTTCAATATTAATATATTTTGTACTTATCGCCTCATTTTAATAAAAATTTTGCACTCTTACAAATTTTTGGCACGTGCGAAACGGCCTTGCATTTGAAAAGTTCGACTAGGGCCTCCCAAAACTCAAAATTTTGGGAGTCTCATGGCCGGCCCTGTGCTGAATGATTTAAATTTCTAATTCAAAAGTTCTAAAGTTTATGCAATGTTCAATCTTGAGTTATGTTGTTCTGGTTTCCCAGAAAATGAAAAATTACAATAGATAGTTACTTATCAAAAAAAAAACACTATTGACAGTTGATTTAAACTTTCTAATTCAAAAGTTCTAAAGCTCTATTCATTTTTCAAGGTTTTTTTACCGCAACCAAACAGCGCATAAGCTTTCAATGTGCGGAATGAGAAGCTCAGAAAATGAATTGAGAAACATAACATAACAAATGACTGAAGAAGCATTTGAATTCGAACTTGAGAGATAGAAAAGCATAATTGAAATTTGTAAACTGAAGGGGAAAAAAAAAAAAAGGGTTTTAGAGTACGTTAGGGCTTTGGAGATGCGAGAAAAATGATCAGCTCCGTATGCCTTGATGAAGTATTCTTCCACATGGGGATTCCAATGCAAGGTTGGGTTGTAGCAGTAACGCTGCGATGGATCCATCTGTAATGTTATACCAGTTATTGAGAGAATGTATAGGAGGCGCAAGACAAAATTATATCATTAGTAAAAAACTAAAAACACGTGTAGTGATACGTATGCACGCATATATCTATATATATATATATATATATATAAACATGTACCCGGGGAGTAAGGCTGTGCAGAGTGAGATAGCTTCTCCTTCCTATTGTTTGGAGCAAATCCCTCCCTTTTTTCATTGAAGGAGGCGAACTTCTGGGTATAATGATACTATAAACTACAGTGTAAAGTATAAAGTGCTGTGACGGCGCAATTACCCTCCGCGACCTCGTTAGGTTTGGAACTTTTCACCCCCGATTAAATTCTAATCAAAATTTACTCTAACATAGATTTAAACAAAATAACAACTAGGTCTGGTCCATTAGTTCACCATTAACTCTCCAGAATAATTTTTTTGTAATGTCAAAATTACCATTCAAATGTAGGAAGTTATACTTCCTGACTTTTCTTTAAGATGTAAAAAGCTAATACCATTAAGCCACTGGCGTATTGGTCTTTTATCCTTAATTAATATGTGAATGAAACTTATCTACAACTAATTTATAGTTGGATGTCTATGTGTATCACGTTAGACTACAACGTGAATATCTTAATGTAAAGGCTGCATGCAAAGTCCAAAATTCAATTTATTTAACATAACATCTACCAATTCTTTACCATATCTTAATGTTTAATGTGGTTAAGGATTGGATAAAAACAATTAATAAATTGTAGGGATGCATTAGATTATAATACATGCATGAATGAGTGTGTTAGTTGAAAAGGTACAATCGAACAGACATAACATATTGGAGTGGATGTGCCTAGTGGTGAACTGACACCATGTGAACCATTACAACATGTTGGAGTGGATATGCCTAGTGGTGAACAGATACCATGTGAACCATTGTAACCAATTGAAATGGTTGTGTCCAGTGATGAAGAGACACATATAAATGGTTATGTCCAGTAATGAAAAGACACATATAAATGGTTGTGTCTAGTGATGAAGAGACACATATAAATGATTCTGTCCAGTAATGAAAAGACACATGTAAATGATTGCGTCCAATGATAAAGAGACACACCCAATCCGAAAAAGCACTTCTATTTCTATAAATACTCCCTTGGGCTGCCATTTGCAATTCGTTCAATTCATTTTCTTCTTTCTCCCTCTTTAGACTTGAACCCAACCCAAGTGGGTTCAAACAATAAGTCTGAGCCACTTAGACTCTAATCCAATTTCATCGAGCCATATTAAGGTTGATCCGAACCATTTAGTTCATATTACACCAAATTCAACATTTATATAATATAAATGCATTTTTTAGTCAGAGAGAATATTACACGGAGGAGGTTCGTCGTATCTACAAGTTTGTAGTACTGCTACTGGTGGATGTAGACCGTTGTATCCTGGGAGACAAACACCATAGAGTTCGTTAGTATCATGCGGGGCATAAATTGTCTTAAGGGCATAGTATCTAATACTAGCCTCGGTCCAGTTTCTTTATTTATTATTATTATTTTATTGCTTTAATTTGCATGTTTAATTAAATATTGAGTTGAATAATTATTTATTTATTTTTAGCATATTATTAATTATCTCATGGCATATTAGTATAAGGTTAATTATATCTTAAATGTCATATGAAACATATATTCTCCAACAAAACTAACCTCAAATGTATCCCATTTTGCCCCTTCCACTTTTGATTAAATTAGTAAGAGATTAATACCTCGGAGAACCACCTAGAAAAATCTAACTATAAGTCTACTCCATTGTTTTTGGGTAATTCGAGAAAGATGGTGTAGTCAGATTTTTTATTAGACAACTAAATTTTCTATTGTGCAAAATTACGATTTTGTGACTATGCTCGATTTTGGTCTCTTGTAGGGAAAAACTTGTGTTTGTGATGAATTTGGAGTTTTTGGACCTTCCAAGTGCAATGGTAAAGTTGGATTTCCAAGCCGACTGTTGGTTGTACGAAACGATAAACCTATAATTATGCTAAGGTTTGGCGATTGAACACTGAAAGTCACTTTGTAGGTGCAACTCTATATGAATTCTAAAGTTTTAAGACATTTCAAACATGACAACACAAGTGTAAAATGGTCATTTGGGGGAAATCTAACATTTGATCAAAAATTTGACTACGCGATCGTATTTAGAACACCCCAAAACTTTGCAGTGAAGGAACGAAACTAAAAATTTTGATGGTCAAAAGGTCAGATGACATTCTTCCCAACAATGCCACATAGGTGCCACACAATCAATTTAGGCATTCCACAGTCAAAGTTAACTAAAAAGTCAAACAGTTCAATTCAGTGGGCAAAGTTGGCACTACCTTGGAGCCATAGAGTCAACTTTGACTTGAAAAAGTCAAAGTTAGAATTAACGATCAAAATTTGCTTAGGAAGACGCCTCCTAGGCGCCACACAATCTAATTTGTCTTGACATGGCAAATGTAGCACGATGGTGGTGATTTAGGAGGCTATAGGACACATAAAGAGCTGGAAGCATCTCCTCATGCTATACTATTTTATTTGGCCGCTCATGCTTCAAAAGTTGTGTTAGACATATTAATGTTGAAAAATGATCTGGAAGTGTTGCCGACTACTACATTATCTAATTTGGCCTAAAGAATTGAGAGAAGCACGAGATTGATGTCACGGGCTTAGAATTTCAGCACCAATCTAGCTACTCCCGTGCGGCACCAAGTCATTGCTTCTACTCATGTAAGTACTTAGTCAGCCTAACTCCTATGCCCACCTTAGCCAACGCACTCCCCTCGTGCTCTTACTAGTGTTATAGTGGCCCTCGCCCTTTTCTCTTTTAGCTTGCACACTCACACACACTAAGGCACTTAAGTTGGCAAAGAAAAAACACTTCTATTACTTCAAAGAATGCTTTGTACAAAGCTAGCTCTCAAACTCTCTACAAGGCTCTCAAGACTCACTCTAGGACTTGATGGCTACAAAATAAAGTCTTATTCCTATTTATAGGCATCTACATCCCTAATGGATGGCTAAGATACAATCTAACCGACGGTGGAGATCGATTCTCTAAAATTTTCTCCCTCCTTCTTCACACTTTCATATATATATATATATATATATATATATATATATCTACAAGTATCTACGACATTCTAAAACTCTTCATATTACTCCACACAACTCTGGAGAACCCTAGAACCTTCCACGGACTTCTACAATATTTTACACATATCTAGAATTTTCCACACAACTCCAGACAATTCCGGAAGATTCTAGAAACTATTTTCACCATATAGTTGCCATGCAACGTCCTACTCAGCCCCTGTGTGGTATAACCTCGATAAGCGAGGCGTGACATTCTCCCCCACCTATTTTCGTGATGTTCTCGTCACGGTTTCTTCAACTGACCCAGCCTCTCGCAGGTCATCAACACTTGTGCATATATCCTTAGCCTAAACATGTGCGCGCCTTTCAGAATGTGTAAGGTCCTTGCGAGCTTTATCGTGTTAACTACCACCTCTTGACTTTCCTTCCTGTCCACGAGCGGCGCCATGCATGTGGCCTTGCCTTCCTCGCCTCCAAGTATCATCAACGCACCAAGGCATGGTAGTGGCACGACATTGTTCCTGTCTATGAACTCTAGCCCTAGTACCATGTCGTGGTCGTCCATCTCCGCAACCTGGAAGTCGGCCTTGCCCTTCCACTCTTGCATGCATAGTTCCACCTCCTTGTACATTTTGCCCACGCGTGCCTCCTCAGAGTTGACGGCCTTGATCCATCCATTCGTTTTGCACATCTCTAAGCCAAGTCACTATGCCTCCTCCAGGGTAATAAAGTTGTGTGTGGCGCCTGTGTCCACCAATCTGCGCATCCATATAGCGCACCCCGGATACCTTCTTCGCCTTGCCTTTCTTCTTGGTGTCATGTGCTGTGCTATTCAATATTTGCATAGCCCCTATACACATATTTTTTCGTCTTCCCTTGCCCTTATCCTTCACAATAGTGCTCATGGTCTTCTTGTTAGAGCAATATCGCAATATGTGCGGCCCATCGCACAAGTAGCACTTCGGCTCCCACTTACCCTTATCATGGCGCTCCCCTTTACCGCTAGCCTTAGACCTCTCTCCATGGTCCTTGCCCTTGTCATGGCGTGGGCGTCTCTTCTCGTCATTGTGCTCATCATCGCTGGACTTGGGCAAGTCCCCTTTCTTGGAGCGCTGGTCTCCCCCACTTTTGTTGTGGTCCATCCTGGGAGACGTGGCCTCTTGTTATCACGCCTAAAGTCTTCAAGCCGCTCTGCTATAGCCATTGCAGATGCCAAGTCTCTAGGCTCCCTCCTCCTAAGCTCCGTGGGCACTTAATACTGCATCCAATCTATGAACAAGCACACGTGTTGCCGCTACAGCATCTCTGGGATCTCTAGTAGGGGTGGCAAAGTTCGACACGACCCGCCAACACGACACGTACACGACACGAGTTAAATGGGTAATGGGTTTACCATAAACAGGTTCGTGTCGTAAACGGGTTGACACGAATAACCCGTTTAGTTAAACGTGTCATGTACGGGTTTATGTGGCTCAACCCGTTTAACCCGTTTAATTAAATGTGTCACCCGTGAACCCGTCTAACCCGTTACCTGTTTTGACCTGATTATTAGGGACATTTTGGTCATTTTATTATTACACAAGAAACCCTATTAAGGCTATTATACAAAATATATCAACAAATTCAACACCAGTCGGTCCAGTCTCCAGACAACTCTTCAGTCTTACCTTACGCGGCGCCTTCACTCTTCCGTCTCTCTCTCAGACCTCTCGGTCTCTCCTCTTTCCTCTCTCTCTCTCTCTCTCTCTGAAAGATTCAACACCAGACAACTCCTTCTCTCTCTCAAATCCACACCACACCAGCACACCTCGAGCGACCAAGAAGTTCAAGAACACTACAGTCTACACTTCGAGCGAACCAGCGAAGAACACAAACCTTGAACAATCGAAGTAAGTTGTCTACTTTTCTTTAATTTTTTTGTCTTCTCTCTTTCAGATCTACTCTGAAACAACAAGAGGACGATTTTTTTTTGTTTTTCCTCTTTCAGATCTACTTGAAAACAAGTTTTCTTTAAATTTTTTTCTTTCAGATCTACTTTTAAACATGTAATTATTTGTTATTGTTTATAGTAATGATTCTATTCTATTTATAGTTTTATGCTCTGTTACTGATTTTTACTCTTCTATATTAATTTCACTTAAATGTTTCGGTAGTTGCCTAGTTACAGCATCAAGGTTA